TCCCAGAATTCCCAAAATCCCTGGATTCCCACCCAAAATTCCCATTAAAACACCCCAAAATTCCTATTTTGGATCCCAGAATTCCCAGAATTCCGGAAATTCCCGGATTCCCGCCCGGATCCCACCTGGGGCCGCGCTGCAGGAGCTGCTCCAGGACGGCGTCCAGGCGTCGCCGCGCAGCCCCCGCCTCCAGCTCTGGAAATTTGGGAATTCTTTGGGAATTTCAGGAGATTTGGGAAGGATTTGAGGGAAATTTCAGGAATTTGGGGGGATTTGGGGGGGAATTTAAGGAATTTTTGGGGGATTTAAGGAATTTTTTGGGAATTTGGGGGTTCCAGGGTCCAGCTCTGGGAAATTCTGGGAATTTTTTGGGAATGTGAGGAAATTTGGGAAGGATTTGAGGGAAATTTCAGGAATTTTGGGGGATTTTTGGGGGGATTTCAGGAATTGTTTGGGAATTTTGGGGGTTCCAGGCTTCAGTTCTGGGAAATTTTGGGAATTTTTTGGGAATTTGGGAAGGATTTGAGGGAAATTTCAGGAATTTTGGGGGATTTGTGAGGGGATTTAAGGAATTTTTGGGGATTTTTTTTGGGATTTAAGGAATTTTTTGGGAATTTTGGGGGTTCCAGGGTTCCATTGTGGGAAATTTTGGGAATTTTTTTGGAATTTGGGAAGGATTTGAGGGAAATTTCAGGAATTTTTGGGGATTTAAGGAATTTTTGGGGATTTTTTGGGGAATTTCAGGAATTGTTTGGGAATTTGAGGAGATTGGGAAAAGATTTGAGGGAAATTTCAGGAATTTGGGGGGATTTGTGAGGGGATTTAAGGAATTTTTGGGGATTTTTTTGGGATTTAAGGAATTTTTTGGGAATTTTGGGGGTTCCAGGGTTCCGTTGTGGGAAATTTTGGGAATTTTTTGGGAATTTCGGAAGGATTTGAGGGAAATTTCAGGAATTTTGGGGGATGTTTTTTGGGATTTAAGGAACTTTTGGGAATTTTTGGGGGGATTTCAGGAATTGTTTGGGAATTTGGGGCTTCCAGGGTTCAGCTCTGGGAAATTTTGGGAATTTTTGGGGATTTTTTTTGGAATTTGAGGAGATTGGGGAAGGATTTGAGGGAAATTTCAGGAATTTTGGGGGATTTGTGAGGGGATTTAAGGAATTTTTGGGGATTTTTTTTGGGATTTAAGGAATTTTTTTGGAATTTTGGGGGTTCCAGGGTTCCGTTGTGGGAAATTTTGGGAATTTTTTTGGGAATGTGAGGAGATTTGGGAAGGATTTGAGGGAAATTTCAGGAATTTTGTGGGATTTTTGGGGGGGTGGGATCCAAGGAAGGATCCAAGGGGGAAATTTGGGGAATTTTGGGGAATTGAGATGAAGATTTTGGGGGAATTTGGGAGAATTTTGGAAGGTTTTGGGAATTTTAAGGAATTTGGGAGAAATCTGGGGTCCCAGAGGGGATTTGGGGACAATTTCGGGGGATTTTTTTGGGAATTTTTTTGGAATTTGGGGGATTTGGAGGATCCTGTGAGGGCTTTCAGAAGGATTTGGGGGGAAATTTTGGAGCTGGGGATGGATTTGGGGATCCTGGTGGATTTCTGGAATATTTGGGAGGAATTTTGGTGGGATTTGGGGAATTTTGGGGGGAATTCGGGGCAATTCCAGGAATATTTTGGGAATTTGGGGGGGGATTTTTGCTGTCCTGGTGGGGATCTCGGGGGAATTTGGGGTAAATTCGGGCAATCTGTTGGAATTTGGGGATTCCAGGGAGGATTTGGGAGATTCCAGAGGGGATTTGGAGGGAATTTTGGGGTTCTCGGGTTGGATTTTGGGGATTTGGGGGCTCCGGCCGAGCTCACCTGGCTTCTCCACCTTCACCTTGGCGGCCATCGCTGCTCCGGACGCGTCTCTGGGGCCTGTGAGGGGTGGGGAGGTAACGGAGGATCCCAAAATCCCCCAAAACTTCCAAAAATCCCAAAAAATCCCCCAAAATCTCCTCAAATTCTCCCGAAATCCGCGACCCACCCCCCTCACCGCCGCCCTCAGCCGCCGCCGCTTCCCGCCTTCCCCAGGCGCCGCTTCTCATTGGTCGCCGCGCACGTCAATCACAACGCACAGCCAATCAGCGGCCTCGGGGGCGGTGCCGCGAGGCGGCGCCATTTTCGCTTTTTGACTACAGCTCCCATCTCGCACCGCGGCTGCCCAGGGCGCCATTACAGCCGGGCCTACACAGCCCTGGCTACACAGCTCTCTCCGCCCGCCGTACGCGCCCCCAGATTCCCCCCAAATATCCCCCCAAGACCCGTAGTGTCCATAAATTCCTCCCCAAGCCTCCAGCAGCCCCGGACGCATTACAGCCCGGCCTACAACTCCGATCATCCCTCGCGCACCGTGAAATCCTTCGTTATCGGCTTACAACTCCCGTCATGCCCCGTAGAGAAGCATTGCAGACCCCGCCCCCCGCACTACAACTCCCGTCATGCCCCGCGCTCCCGTAGAGAAGCATTGCAGACCCCGCCCCCCGCACTACAACTCCCGTCATACCCCGCGGCGCTTTTCGCGCGCTTTTTGGCTTCCCCTCAGAGCCCCCCGGCCATGATGGCGAAGGCTCTGGAGCTCTGGGCCCGCGAGGAGATGGAGCTGCCGCCCTCCGCCTGCCCCTCCCCGGCCGCGCTCCGCAGGTCGGGAACACCCGGGGTGGTTCTATAGGGGGTTTGAGGGGTTTGGGTCCCATAGGGAGGGTCTATAGGGGTTTTCAGGGGGTTTGTGTCCCATAGGGAGGGTCTGTAGGGGTTTTGAGGGAGTTTGAGGGGTTTGGGTCCCATAGAGAGGGTCTATAGGGGTTTTGAGGGGGTTTGGGGTCCCATAGTAGGGGTCTATAGGGGTTTTGAGGGGTTTGGGGTTCCCTTTTGGAGCATCTGTAGGGGTTTTGAGGCGGTTTGGGTCCCATAGGGAGGGTCTATAGGGGTTTTCAGGGGGTTTGGGTTCCATAGAGGGGGTCTATAGGGGTTTTGAGGGGGTCCTGAGGGGGGTTGGGGTCCATAGGGAGGGTCTATAGGGGTTTTCAGGGGGTTTGGGGTCCATAGAGAGGGTCTATAGGGGTTTTGAGGGGTTTGGGTCCCATAGGGAGGGTCTATAGGGGTTTTGAGAGGGTCCTGAGGGGGTTTGGGTTCCATAGGGAGGTTCTATAGGGGTTTTGAGAGGTTTGGGGTTCCATAGGGACAGTCTATAGGGGATTTTAGGGGCTCCTGAGGGTTTTGGGGTCCCTTTTAGGGGATTTGGGGGTGATTTTAAATCCCTTTGTGGGGTTTGAATTCCCTTCGAGGAGTTTTGGGGTGTCCCTGACCCCCCTTTTTTCCCCCCTTCCCTCCCCTCCAGGCTCTGCTCCGGCCCCACAGCTCCAATCTGGGATTTTGTCACCCGCCACATCCGCAACACCCGGTGAGAGGGTGACACAAACCTCGCCAGGGTGACAACACCTCAAAACACCCTAAAATTCACAGGAAACCCCAAATTCACACCTCCTACAGCACCTGCAACACCCTGAGGTGTTTTTGTTGTGCTTTTTGGGGTGTCCCTCACGGATTTTTCTGGGGTGTCCCCACAGGAACGCGAAGAAGATCCGAGGGAATCTGCGCTGGTATCCGGAATTTTGGGAATTCCCAAAAAAAAATTTGGGTTAAAGCGTCCAAATTTGGGGTTTTACACCCCAAAATTCGAAGGGAGGAGTTTGGGGTGGTCCCAAAATTGGGAGATTCCCAAATTTAGGATGTTTGGAAAATTTTGGGGGGTTTGAATTGGATCCTAAAAATTGGGGAGACCCCAAAAATCGAGGGATTTTTTTGGAATATCCCAAAAATTTGGGGAATCCCAAAAATTTTGGGCTGACTCCAGAGTTGTTCCTTAACTCAAGGATCAGGTACAGGCATCTGCAGGAGCTGGAGGTGAGGGGACCCCAAAATTTTGGGGGGGTTTGGGGTGAATTTGGGGGATTCCCCCAAACCTAGGGGGGTCAGATTTGGGGTGGGGAACCCCAATTTTGAGGGGATTTTCCATAAATTTCAGGTTTTATTGGGGTTTTCCCAATTTTTTGGCGTTGTTTTGGGGTGTCCCTAAAATTTGGAGGAATTTTGGGGGGATTGGGGTGGATTTTGGGGGATTTGGGTGAATTTTGGGGGATTTGGGGGAATTTTGTGGGGATTGGAGTGAATTTTGGGGGGATTTGGGGTGAAATTGGGGAGAATTTTGGGGGGATTGGAGTGAATTTTGGGGGGTTTTGGGGTGAACTTTGGGGGGCATTGTGAATTTTGGGGGGATTGGAGTGAATTTTGGGGGGATTGGGGTGAATTTTGGGGTGAAATTTGGGGGGATTTGGGGTGAAATTTGGGGGGATTTGGG